GTGAATACAGGAAAGAGTAAGGTTATGAGGATAACAAAAAGATTAGGTGATGAAAGATTGGATATCAGATTGGAGGGAGAGAGTATGGAGGAGGTGAATGTATTCAGATATTTGGGAGTGGACGTGTCAGTGGATGGGTCTATGAAAGATGAGGTGAATCATAGAATTGATGAGGGGAAAAGGGTGAGTGGTGCACTTAGGAGTCTGTGGAGACAAAGAACTTTGTCCTTGGAGGCAAAGAGGGGAATGTATGAGAGTATAGTTTTACCAACTCTCTTATATGGGTGTGAAGCATGGGTGATGAATGTTGCAGCGAGGAGAAGACTGGAGGCAGTGGAGATGTCATGTCTGAGGGTAATGTGTGGTGTGAATATAATGCAGAGAATTCATAGTTTGGAAGTTAGGAGGAGGTGCAGGATTACCAAAACTGTTGTCCAGAGGGCTGAGGAAGGGTTGTTGAGGTGGTTCGGACATGTAGAGAGAATGGAGCAAAACAGAATGACTTCAAGAGTGTATCAGTCTGTAGTGGAAGGAAGGCGGGGTAGGGGTCGGCCTAGGAAAGGTTGAGGGAGGGGGTAAAGGAGGTTTTGTGTGCGAGGGGCTTGGACTTCCAGCAGGCATGCGTGAGCGTGTTTGATAGGAGTGAATGGAGACAAATGGTTTTTAATACTTGACGTGCTGTTGGAGTGTGAGCAAAGTAACATTTATGAAGGGGTTCAGGGAAACCGGCAGGCCGGACTTGAGTCCTGGAGATGGGAAGTACAGTGCCTGCACTCTGAAGGAGGGGTGTTAATGTTGCAGTTTAAAAACTGTAGTGTAAAGCACCCTTCTGGCAAGACAGTGATGGAGTGAATGATGGTGAAAGTTTTTCTTTTTCAGGCCACCCTGCCTTGGTGGGAATCGGCCAGTGTGATAATAAAATAATAATAATATTATTATACATATTATTATTATTATTATTACAGTGGTCCCTCAATAATCGTCCGGCCTGAAAGTCGTCCATTTCAGAAATAGTCCTGTTTTTTCGTCTAAATATTGGCTCGCAAATGGTCCGGTAACTCGCTAACAGTCCTTTGTCCCGGACGCGTACTCAAGCTCTGAGCCGCCTGGGCCTTCCCTTCCCAGCCAGTGTGCCATTGTTTACCAGTGAGCGACAGTCCCCTCACGTGCTCCAGCGAAATATTTCATAATATTCCATTTATTTTAGTGCTTGCAAGTTATTTAAGAGCTAAATAAGCTACCATGGCTCCAAAAAAAGCTCCTAGAGCCAAGCGTTTGGTAAAGAAGGTGAGAAATACGATTGAATTTAAGAAAAACATCATCGAACAATATGATAGTGGCGTACATGTGGGCGAACTGGCCAGGATGTATAACAAATCCCGTACAACCATATCTTCCATCAAAGCCAAGAAAAAGGAAATCAAGGATGCTGTTGTTGCAAAGGGGGTAAATATGCTGACAAAAATGAGATCATCAGTACTCGAAGATGTTGAGAAGTTATTATTGGTGTGGATAAGCGAGAAAGAATTAGCAGGAGATAGTCTTATGACGTTGCTTATTTGTGAAAAGGCTAGGCAGTTGCATGACGATTTGGTAAAGAAATTGCCTGCAACTAGTGGTGATGTGAGTGAATTTAAGGCCAGCAAAGGCTGGTTTGAGAGATTTAAGAAGCATACTGGCATACACAGTGTGGTAAGGCATGGTGAGGCTGCCAGTTCGGACCACAAGGCGGCTGAAAAATATGTGTATGAATTCAAGGAGTACATAAACAGTGAAGGACTGAAACCTGAACAAGTGTTCAATTGTGATGAAACAGGCCTCTTTTGGAAGAAAATGCCAAAGAGGACCTACATTACTCAGGAAGAAAAGGCGCTGCCAGGAAACAAGCCTATGAGAGACAGGCTGACGCTAATGTTCTGTGCTAATGTTAGTGGGGATTTCAAAGTGAAGCCGTTACTAGTGTACCATTCTGAAAATCCCAGTGTTCAAGAAAAACAATGTTATGAAGAGTAAATTGTGTGTGTTTTGGAGATCTAATAGTAAGACATGGGTCACAAGGAACATTTTCGTCGAGAGGTTCAATGAAGTGTTTGGCCCTAGTGTGAAGAATTACCTCCTGGAAAAGAAATTGGATCTCAAGTGCCTCCTAGTAATGGACAATGCACCTGCTCATCCTCCAAACTTGGATGACCTAATTCTGAAGGAGTTTGGGTTCATCACAGTGAAGTTCTTGCCCCCGAATACCACTCCTCTCCTCCAGCCCATGGACCAGCAAGTCATTTCAAACTTTAAAAAACTCTACACCAAAAGCAATGTTTGAAAGGTGCTTGAATGTGACCTCAGACACTCATTTGACCCTACGAGATTTTTGGAAAGAACACTTCAGTATTCTCCATTGCGTATGCCTTATAGGTAAGGCTTGGGAGGGAGTGACTACCAGGACTTTGAATTCTGCTTGGAGAAAATTGTGGCCAGATTGTGTCCACAAGAGGGATTTTGAAGGGTTTGAGGCAGCCCCTGATGAGCCTATGTCAGCTGTAAACTCTATTGTCGCACTGGGGAGTTCCATGGGGTTGGATGTGAGTTTGGAGGATGTGGAAGAGTTGGTGGAGGACCACAATGAAGAGCTAACCACTGAGGAGCTGCAAGAGCTTCAGCAGGAGGAGCAACAGATCGCAGCTCAGAATCTTGCTGCAGAGGAGGAGGAAGAGAGATGGAGGAAGGTGCCTTCTTCAGAAATTAAGGAGATTTTTGAAATGTGGGGTAGGATGGAAAGATTTATGGAGAAACATCACCCAGAGAAGGATGTTGCAAGCCATATCGGCAACTTGTACAGTGACAGAGTCTTGGCCCATTTTAGGGAAGTTTTAAAGAGACGCCAGAAACAGAGCTCTCTGGACAGTTTTTTTTTTGCGAGACAGGACTCCAGTGACTCTCAAGGTGGTCCTAGTAGCATTAAGAAACAGAGAAAAGAAGTAACCCCAGAAAAGCAATTGGTACCCGAGGTGTTGATGGAAGGGGATTCCCCTTCCAAACAGTAAATCATCCAATCAGTCTCCTTCTCCAGTCTTCCATACACAAAGAAGAATTGCCAATAAAGGTAAGTGTTATTCTGTTAATGTTTAATTCATCATGTGCCACTGTATTGTTTATGTACTACATCTATATTTCATGTAAAAAAATTTTTTGTTTTAATACTTCTGGGTGTCAGGAACGGATTAATTGAATTTACATTACAGTGGAACCTCAAAAATCGAACTGCTCCCAACGCAACCAATTATGTAAGTGTATTTTTGTAAGTGCTTTTATAAGTGTATTTTTGAGGGTCTGAAATGGACTAATCTAATTTACATTATTCCTGATGGGAATAAATTCATTCGGTAAAGGCACTCGAACAGCCTTCTGGACTGAAGAAAGTTCGATATTTGAGGTTCCACTGTATTTCTTATGGGGAAAATTGATTCGTAAATCGTCCATTTCGATAATAGTCCCACTTCCAGGAACGAATTATGGACGATAATTGAGGGACCACTGTATTATTATTATTATTGTATTATACTATTATTATTATTATTATTATTATATGTATTGTTATTATTCATATTATTATTATATATATTATTATTATTATTATTATTATTATTATTATTATTATTATATAAATTATTTGTAATTTTTATTCACACAAAAAATATAAGATTTATTGTTATTCCTTATTGCAATAATTGTATAAATATGTCAACCCATTCACAACTGCATATTGGAATGGACAGTGACATCATTTGTTTACACTGAAACAGCCAAGCAATGGACCATTTCTCCTAGGTTGAGCTCAATTTCAAGGCACTTTTTGTCATGAAACTAATCAAAATCATATCTATTTCTGTAATATATCTTCCATTCTATCAAATGAGACCAAAAAAACGAAAATACAACCATAAAAAACATACGAAAATACCACTAAGGGGTGGCTAATTGCTGAGAAGTGAGCTCCATTATTTATGCTTAGATTTCTTCCATTATTATTATTATTATTATTATATAAAGAATTTGTAATTTTTATTCACACGAAAAATATAAGATTTACTGTGACGTCATTTGTTTACACTGTAACAGCCAAGCAATGGACTATTTCTCCTAGGTTGAGCTCTATTTCAAGGTACTTTTAGTCGTGAAAGAAATCAAAATCATATCTATTTCTGTAATTTATCTTCAATTCTATCAAATGAGACCAAAAAAATGAGAATACAACCATAAAAACCATTTGAAATTACCACTAAGGGGTGGCTAATTGCTGAGAAGTGAACTCCATTATTTATGCTTAGATTTCTTTCATTTTTGGTGTACATTAAGAAGCATCTTTCCATCATACATTGCCCAAGTTTCAATAAGATAGTCCAACAAACAAATGAGATACAATTCCCAAGATCAAGAGCAAGAGCCCCTATTCCCAAGATCAAGAGCAAGAGCCCCTCACCAGTGTCAAGGAACCTGCCTTGAGGTCTGCTCGCTTGTGGAAATTTTGCTCGCGTATGGAAGCAAAAAATCGACCCATCAACTGCTCGTATTTGGAAAAACTCACACATGGACACGCTATAAGTAGAGGTTCCACTGTAGTTGAATTTAAGCAAACTGAAATAATTAAAATTAAAATAAGAAAAGTCAAGAGTATTTTCCCAGAATGGTTGGCAATATGCAGCTAGGGATAAAATACTTGGACATTTCTTGAGCATTCATGAAAAAGCTGTCTCTGAATTAACGAATTTTGTTGAATTCTAACAAAATGATGCAGGGTATGACGATAGTCTCTTTGGCTAAGTCTATATCAGCTGATGATGTATGCCCAGCTGAAGCTGGGCAGACAAATTATGACACAATACTTCTAACAGCCTTGCTTAACCAAGAAACTGATATCATGTTTCAGTGTTTGTTTAGTTCATAGAACACATTGCATGTAATGCATGGGCAATTAGAGAACAAAAAATTAAGCACAACCATACCTTTTTCGGAGCTAGTGTTTGGTAATGAGTGAGGTGCCGCAACTGTTTTAGAAGTCTCTCCCACTCACAGTTGCTGCAGCGAAGTAATTCATTCAACACCAACAATGAACCATGTATTCTGTCATCTCGAGTGAGACTGCGATCTTTGTTGTTAGCTGAATCATCAAAGCCAGCCCAGACCTCTGTCAAGCACTGCTTATACCTGAAACAAAATGAAAATTTCTAACAATCAAAAGAAAAACTCAACAATGCAAGACTTTACTGGAGAGTCTTCCAACAGATTACTTTCTGAGTGTCATTACCCAATTTGTTTGTAGTTTGTCAGTTATTCCACTTTATAAATTATTCACAATATTTTATTTTATTAACACACTGGCCGATTCCCACCAAGGCAGGGTGGCCCGAAAAAGAAAAACTTTCACCATCATTCAATATGGGAACATGAAAATCAATTTGTAAAAGTCAATACAGATTAAAAGCAATACAGGAGCAATGATTATAAAAAATAAATATTTTAAATCAGAGCCCTGCCATCTTAAAATTTAAACAAGGAGCTAGCAACACCTCCTGTATAAATTACTAAACGTAAAAAGAAAAACTTTCATTTTCTTTTTGGGCCACCCTGCCTTGGTGGGATACAGCTGGTTTGTTGGAAAAAAAACAATTCTTTGTTTATTCTTTTTCTGGTCACCCTGCCTCAGTGGAAGACAACCAATGTGTTGACGTTATCCAGTGACGTTGTTACCTGAGGGTCCACTGTAAATGGTTTTAAGGATTTGATGTGAAGTTGAAGTGTAGGGTAACATTTATGAAAGGATTCAGAAAAATTGGTTGTAGCCCTAGAAAATCAGTGACTCCACTCTGATAGGGGACCTTCTTTTCAGAGAACAATTTGAAATGTGATTTTTTGCACTTCTAGCAAGATAACTACTGAATGAATGATGGTGAATGTCTCTCTTTTATGGGGTTACTGTACCTTGGTGGGAATTGGCTGGTGGGGTTTTAAAAAATATTTTGAATTTCACAACCACATTGTTTGCTGCATCTCTTTAGTCTCTCTCTGCGCAGTGATGGTAAGTGCAACCCGCAGTCCCGCTACTGAAATTTCTCTGATTGCAGGCTTCGGTCTCTTACAGCATGAAAAATTACATCCAAGAACTGCTGAACTTGTTAAAAAAAGTATGTAGGTACTGAAAGGGCCAACTCTCTGAGCACAAAGTACCTGTAAAAAAAAATGAAACATACAATAGTAAAAAAATGGTGAATACTGTACCACATAAAAGTTTTCACTCAAAAGCCTTTTACGACTTAGGCTTGGTGAACCGAGTATTGTTTTCAGAGGGAAGAACCAACTAATTAGTGGAAGGGGGGGGGTCATTCAGTGCCAGAGGAATAGAAGATAATCTGGTTTGATCCAAGGAAGAGGAAGGTAGCTCCAATTCTTTGGGCCCAGAGCCCTTCACCAGAATCAAGGAACACCCCTCTCCCCTTGAAGGATATACACCTACCATCCGACTTATGATCTGCTCGATTTACAACCACTCGACTTACGACCGTGTTTTTTTATGCCAAATTTCTGGGGAATAAACAACTATTTGTGTTTTACACAGGTTTATCCTAAACCTTACAGTATAAAATACAGTACTAACAGCATAAAAAGTAAAGTAAAACATTTTCTTTTTTTTTTCAACAAGTCGGCCGTCTTTCCCCCCGAGGCAAAATAAAACAATAAAATAAAGTCATTACAAAAATGTTTTTGATATTCAGTGGTAAAGTTCGACTTACGACCGGTTTCTCGGAACCCAACTCGGTCGTAAGTCGGATGGGAGATGTACTACACAAGATATAGAAATAAATTTTTAATTCATATCGTCATTAAAAATTTTTTAAACCATACTACACACACGTCCATGACTGCTAATAACTTGAAACCAGCAATTCTAGACTTCCGCGCATGTCTTTTTCCTTCTTTTACATTCCTTGCAACCACTCAAAGGATTCTTGCCCTAGGTCTTAAACATACTCGGCTTTGAATTTTCCCCAGTCCCAAAAAGCAAGGCGACCTACGCTTTTGATTTTATTTTCCATCACCCCGGGTGCGGGGCTTTATTTTAACCCAAAAAAAAACTTTTTAAAAATTCAAAAATTTTTAAAAAGATATATTTTTTAAATTCAAGAATAAAATGAGAAAGGCATTTAAAAAACCCCCCGGGAAAACTATACTGCAACAGGGATTAAAAAATTAAAAAAAAATTTATTATACAGTTTTAACTCGGGAAACCCTTTTTCATCTAAATACAGAAAATTAGAACCTACAGCACAAAAAATGTCCGAAAAAAACAAAAAATAAACTAGATCTTAAAATTCAGCTGAAAATTATATAAAATTACCAACTAATGACAGATTTTCTTGGGGTTAAAAAAAATTTTTTTTGAAGTTTGGCTATGTACTCACTGTTGTAGCACGGCATATAGAAAACCCCCTTTCACCCCTCCCCCAAAAAAAAAAAAAACCGCCAAAACAGCACAAACGAGCTAGTGCCAAATTTTTAAATTAAATGCATTATACGAAATACTTTGTAAATTTGTTTTACCCAAAAAAGGGTTTTGATTCTCCTTTTAAAATATTTTAGGTAATACATTGAATGTGAAGTTTGCATTTGGGGAATTTTTTGTAAAAACCTAGCAGAAAAAATTTTTTTTTATTTTTTAATATATTTTTTTTAAATTTCTATTTTTAAATTTTAAACCCCTTTTAAATTTCCCCAAATATAGATCCCCTTTTCACTTGCATGCCCCTCTAAATTTTTTTTGAGAAAAAAAAAAAGTTTTTTTTTTAAAAATGAAGAGCCCCCCATTTTTTTTGGCACCCCCGAATTTTGTCTTCCCGGGAGCCACTGAGTGCACAGACCCATTTCTCTGCCCTGGGCAACTCAGGCCAAATCGTGCTAAGGGTGAAAGCATGTAAAAAAAAATGAGATCAAGTTTGGAGCGTACACATGTGAACAAGATCTATTTTTCAGACATTTTAAAGGAAAAATAGGGGGGGGGAAAAACCCTTTGTTATACAACCCCGGGGGAAAAAATATGATAAAGTTTGACCCAAAGGGAAAAAAGAGTTGGGTTCACAAAACGAAAGAGAGCGTTTGGGGAAAAGATAAGCATATTAGGTTTTAACACTTATTATTTTTCAGGGGGGAAGTGCTAAGCCCACAGGGTTTTGGGAAAGAAATCATTTTTTGAAAAAAAGGGAAAAGGGGCAGCCCCAAATTTCCCCTTAGATCAAGAGCTCATAAACAAAAAGGGCCCACCCACATAAAAGGGGGGGCAATCACTTTAGTTTTCACATAAAACCCAAATAAAAAGAAACTGTAGCTCTTTTAAGGTTTTTTTGGGCATAGTAATTGGGTTTTTTTACTTTGTACAAGCACTTTTAAAACCCCCAAATCCCCAAATTTCCCAATTTTTTTGTGTACAATTGAAAATTTCTTTTTTTTAAAAAACAAATTTCTTTTTTAAAATTCTTTTAGCAGAAAACCCTTTTAACAAGGTTTTTTCGTAGTTGCAAAAGGGGGTTATACGGACCCAGTTTGGGCCCAATGTCAACATCAAAAAGGCCACTGAAAAACATTGTTTAATTTTTTAATGCATATAGAAAAAGAAAAAAAAAAATTAATAAACCTGAAAAGCAAATTTTCCCTTTTGAAAAATTACAGAAAAATTAACAGAATATCTCGGGCAAATTCAGAAAATTTTTGGGAAAAAAAAAGCTCAAGAGAAGTTTTTCTATGCTTTTTTTTTCTTTAAAAAATTTTTTTTTCAAAATTTTAAAAAATGCTTTTTGACAAAATTCCCGTTTATTTAAACACTATTTTTCGAAATAATCCCCCCATTTCTGGCAAGTGCCCCCCCACTTGAAATTGAAAATGGAACATCTTTCATGAAAACTAAAACTAATTTTAAATATAAAATTTACAGATCACACCCTAAACCCTTTTTAAACCCTTTAAACCCCTTTCGGGTTTTAATGGAAAAAGCCGTACTAGTACGGTTTACGTCCCAGGGCCCTTGACGTACAAAGGAACCCCATAAATTCTAGCCCCTTCAAAAAAAAAGGAGAAAAGTGGTAGGCCTAAAAAATAAAAGGGAATGGGTCTATTTTTGGTCACTGTGCGCGGTAAAAAAAAAACCTGCGACACAGTGTTTTAATGAAAAAAAAAAAAACTTTGCCCGGTTGTTTTTGGATTAAAACAGCGATTTTTGCACTGTTTTTGTTGGTATTTTTTGTTGTATTCTATTTCCCCCCGGGTCTCTTTTGTTAAAATAGAAGACATTACAAAAATTGAAATGTTTTTTACGGGTTTTTTACAATGAAAAGCCCTTGGGAAATTGACCCAAAAGTAGCAAAAAATTTTCGATTTTTCCAAAGTTCAAAAGTAAACAAATAAACCCAAAAGCATCCAATACAGTCAACTGGTGAGCCCAAATTTCTTAAACCAAGTGAGCCATTTTATTTAAAACCATTTCTACACAAATTGCTTAGTCTGAAAAAAGTAAAATTTTTTTTTGTGAGAATAAAAATTAAAAAATGGAAAGAAAAAGAAGGTAAGAGGGGGCATGGGGATGTGATAATGAACAGAGGAAATGTTTTTTTAGTCCCAGGAATGTCTTTCTTGTTTTTTCTGGACCCTTTTTGGGAAAATTTGGCATTTTTTTAAAAATTTTGTGGGGAAATTTGGGCCCCCCAAAATTTGCAAAATTTTTCTGACCACTGTTTTGGGGATATTTTGAAATCGGAAAATTTGGGGGGGTTTTTTGTACTCATTCGAAAAAAAAATATTTTCTAGCAAAATAGTTTTTTTTTTTTTCGACTAGTACACGGGGTTTTTGGGCTAAAAAATAGGGTCAAAGTGGGAAATTTTTCGCCGATGCGTAAACTCATAGAGACCGCAAACCCTTCGTGGAGAACTTTAATTTCCCCAAAGTTTTCCATCAAATTTCTAATTTTTTTGGTGTCTTTAAATATCGGGAAAAGACTCATTTTTTCAAAATTTTTTTTTTTTTTTTTTTTTTTAAATTTTGGGGGGCCCCTTTGGAAACAACCCCTGAGAGGGCCTGGGACCCTGAAAGGGTTAAATGAAAAAATCACGGGTTATTTTTCTTTTTACCAAGTTTGTTTTTTTTTTTTATTCATGGGAAAAACTGATGCAGACTCTTCGTAGATAAATCTTTTTTAGTGGTGATGGCCCTATAGCAGAGGCACACCCCTAGTGTGTCGAAGGACAGGGAAAATTTGGTGGAATAGGTGAGGGCCCTCTATGACTGGCAACAGCATTTTCAAAGAAACAATTTCCCTAAAGTACTTTTTTTTTGGGAGTAAGTTTTAAAAATTTTTGCTCTTCTACAAAACAAAGTCTTTTTTTTGAAAATAATTCTGACACCAAAAAAAAATTTTTGTTTCATATACTTTAAGCCAATCAATTTTCAAAAATAAAAAAGTACTTTAGTTGGTTTAAAAAGGAACACGTAGGGCAAACACTATAACATTTTTATTAAAAAACCGTTTCGGCCTGGGAACCTTTGTTCACTTCTAATCTTTACGAGTAGAAAGAAAATTATATATAAAGGCGGGAGTGAATGTGACGCCCCGGCCCTAAAGGAAATTGTCATAAGAACATAAGAATGGGGGAAAACACTGTAGAAGGCCTACTGGCCCATGCGAGGCTTTTTCCTTATCAAAACAACCTCTACCTTATGGGGAGGGTAGACGATGAAATCAGGGACTCCTGTGTTTTTGGGGTTTGGGTGCTGTGAAGTATCATGTTTTGCCAAGTTTTGGAAAATTTGTAGTTTCCAGTGTTGCGTTTAAAAGTGTCGGTGAGGGCGATTAGTGAGGTTTTTTTCCCACCGCGGCGTTGGGGTCGGGTTGGGTGAGAACGATTTGGTGCCTCGTTCCAGTTCATCAAATCCCCCCGGGGAAAGGTCTTGTGGAGGACACAGGCGTCCCTTACCTTCGTCTTGTTAGAGGCTTTTCGATGCTAATTCAGGGGGGCTCCCAAGATCTTTTCCGTTTCCAACATATTTTTTGGGGACAGAACCCACGGGGGTTTAGTGTAGACGCCTGCTGTAAAGTTAGGGGGGGGTGGGGGCGGGGGTTTTGTAGTGAGGTTTTTGTTTGATGTTTGTTTTAGGGGAAAAACTTTG